ACCAAATAATAGAAAAACATAACATGTAATAAGGTGCTATAATTCTGATGCTGTACTAGGGAGCTGGGGGGTGGGAGAGACAGAACTAATTTTTTAATTATGCACCATGGAGCTATTGCAAATGTACTGTGAGATAGGGAGAATGTGCAGCGTTGCAATTTCAAATCCATTGTTTTTATTATACAAACTCATTCATATTGCCTTCTGAAACTGTGCATTTAATTCCACCAAGATGATAAAATACAGATGTTATTTAGATAACACATTTCAATTAGCTGCTCTAACAGCACAGTCCTACACATGTCTACTCAGAAGTAAGCCCCATTGAGTTCAATGGCACCTACTCCTAAGTAATAGGATTGCAATCTAAATCTAGTTTAAACCGTCTTTATAGTCACATATCAATTATAACATAACCACAGGAACTAACATCTCTGAGCTTCATCAAAATCAATCAATTCTCTTAGGCTGAATCTGGAATGTTGTTTCAATGGAATTGCTCCCACAGGCAGTTTTGATCCATTTAGACTTCAGCTTTATAATGCATTCTGAATCAGATTATCCCTCATAATATATTCCTACGTAATGTTTTATTTCAGCAGCAACTTTTGCCATATAGAATAATAAATGAATCTGCAAACTTGCTAGAGCTGTCTGTGACAAGGGTGGAATCTACACACATATAAAAACTGCTGTGAAAATACTTTTTTTTAAAAAAAGAAGGTTTGAAAAATACACTGAATTTGGCATAGCTCACTGTCACCGTCTATTGTCACATTTGTATATTGCACCTTACAAAACATTTAAAATGTTTTATTTGTTGCTGTATAGCTGAGTCCAAGGACTGAATGTATTTCATACTTCCATGGTTAGCCTATGGAAGCACAAATCATACTGGGAATCACAGTTTTCATTTACAAAGAAATTGCAAGTGGGTCATGGTCTGAGGACCATCTTGTTGGTCTGGGTCTGGTCAGAGCCTGGATGGGAACCCCATGCATTCTGCCTTAAATTTCATTATGGAAGAAAGGCAGGCTATAAATAAAGTCATCCTTTATTTATTTGCATTACTGTACTGCTCTTTGACCTTTTTACTGCTCTTTCAGAAAATGTTATCTGGACAATGCAGATAGAAGTGAAAATCTGGAAGTATAAAAATAAAGCATGGACATAAAATACCATATAAACAGTATGTGTGTGTGTTTAATTACAATAAAAGAACATCAAAATAAACAAAAAAAATAGTGCAGAAAAATTTAAAACAACTAAAAATGATAAAAACATGTAAAAAATATTGAATAGTAAAACACCACTATATGACTCCCAGGGACGCGGGTGGCGCTGTGGGTAAAACCTCAGCGCCTAGGACTTGCCGATCGTCAGGTCGGCGGTTCGAATCCCCGTGGCGGGGTGCGCTCCCGCTGCTCGGTCCCAGCGCCTGCCAACCTAGCAGTTCGAAAGCACCCCCGGGTGCAAGTAGATAAATAGGGACCGCTTACTAGCGGGAAGGTAAACGGCGTTTCCGTGTGCTGCGCTGGCTCGCCAGATGCAGCTTGTCACGCTGGCCACGTGACCCGGAAGTGTCTGCGGACAGCGCTGGCTCCCGGCCTATAGAGTGAGATGAGCGCACAACCCTAGAGTCTGTCAAGACTGGCCCGTACGGGCAGGGGTACCTTTACCTTTACCTTATATGACTCCCAGTGCTTTTCTGAGCACAATTCAAAGTGTTGGTGCTGACCTTTAGCCCTAAATGGCCTCAGCCCAGTATACCTGAAGGTGCGTCTCCACCCCCATCGTTCTACCTGGACACTGAGGTCCTTCTCCAGGGGTCTTCTGCTAGTTCCCTCAATGTGAGAAGCAGAGTTACAGGGAACCAGGCAGAGGGCCTTCTCAGTAGTGGCGCCGTCCCTGTGGAACACCCTCCCTTCAGATGTCAAAGAAACAAACAACTATTTGACTTCTAGAAGACATCTGAATGCAGCCCTGTTTAGGGAAGTTTTTAATGTTTGATGTTTTATTGTGTTTTTTATTATTCTACAAGGAGCCGCCCAGATTAGCTGGGGAAACCCAGCAAGATGGATAGGGTATAAATAATAAAATTATTATTTTTATTCCTGTCCAGATAGGGGTGCAACTGGGCCCATTGGTGTTTGTGTGAGTGGGGGTGCAGAGGCAGCTGCTTCAGGCACAAAAATTATTAGGGGCGTAACCCAAGTTACAGCACTGCATTGCAGCGGTCCCAAAGGTGCTGCAAAACTGGGAGGGAGATGTATCCCTTTCCTAGTGCAGCAACACAGTATGAGCGTCTCTCAGGCAGCCAGGTATCTCACTGCCCACTCCTTTCAGCACCTTAGTTTCACATCCTTTGCTCAGAGGCACCATGCACCACATGCTTCTCACATGCTATGGCTGCCACCACTGCCATGCACCCTGGGTTGCTTCTGTGCCAATTGGCCCCCTTGGCTCTCTCATGCTCCCACTTTGGGACAAAGGCAAACAGGACCCCTGTGGCATCACAGAGCCCCCAGTCCAGGCCTCCATATGGGAGCAGGCAGTTGCAGGGATGTCGGGACACTGCCAGAGTGTCAGCTGTGTGAACCTTGACTGACAGTGCACCAGCTCTTAGGCTGCACTGGTGAAGCTTCCTGGGAATATCCTATAGAGAGTTGAAATGGCTGGTGCAGGGTGAGCCACAGCGATGGATTGGCTCCAGTTGGGCAGTTGTAGTCTGCGTCCAGCACCACCTGGGAGAGCCCACATCTCAGAGGTTGTGCTAAAAATTGGTGGAAGAGGATCCACCGCGATGTGCTAGCCCCTTTCCCATGGGGATGCTGCCCCCTTTTGCGTCTTGTCCTAAGCACTGGCAACTCACGCTTTGCCACTTCTGGGCCACCAGCCAAAACTGATGAAAGGCATATCATAGTTGTGTGTGTGCTCAGTACTGTAAGGTGTGTGTGCGAGAGAGAGGAATTTCAGATAAGACGCAAAGCTGTTCTCAAGCACAGTGTGTTTACAGATGACACTTGCAGTCAATATTTTGTATCAGTACCCATATGATTGTGAGTAAACATTTTGTGTTAACATTCATGATGATGTTCAATAAATAATAATTTGCGTTTTCTAAAATGTGTGTTACAGCCTGTGGAGTGGAAGTAAAATATTCCTTATTACAGCAGGAATACTTGCTTAGTCTGACTAAGAATCATTTCATTTCCATAGTGCTAGATACTGAAAGGGAACTGTTTTCCCATGTGTAATGATTTGCCTTTCCATAGACTTAATTAGGACATTGTGAATCAATATGAAACCAGATCTTGTTTACACTTAAAGTCAATGATTGAACATTGTTTTCAATGGCATTTCCATCTTCCTTTGGAAAATTGTCATTATTTTTTTAAAACATGGCATTTATTTCCATTTCAAAGAAGTGCCTTTCATTTTGCATAAATATACAAATTTTCAAGCTGCACAGACAAAAGATTCACTGCTTGACAGCTGGCATTATCTTTGGACTATTGTTCAGGTAGTTGGAACCAAGTTAGCTTTTACCTATTGCTATTTTATCATTTGCTTCACACCTTCAACAGAGCTACAGTCTCAACCTGACCTGCTGAAATTGAAAATGTAACCTTCCCAAAATAACAGATGAGGGATTCTTTGTGTTGACATTTTGTGTGGGTCTTATTCTCTGAGCCTGTGACCTACCACATGGAGAAACTTCTAAAAACTACCAACTTGCAATGCCAAAGACAGTTATATCCTCCTGGGGGCCTAGATCCATTGAACTTCTATTGCAATGTTAACTCTAATGATCATAGAGGTTGAAAATAATAGGAGAAATGAACAATAGAATACAGCCAACTCTCCTAAAGAGTATTGTCTTGACAGTTCAAGGTGCTCATAACTTTGTTCATACACTGCAAGTCTAAATTTCAATAAGGGGTGGAAATAATTCTCCAGGGATTTCTAGCATAGTAGGGAACAAAAAATGTGGTGAATGGATTAACTGTACAAAACAAGAGAACACAAAACAAATATGTCTATAACTTTCATATGTTGAACATATTGAGTAGGAAACACATGAATATATGAAAGGACTCAGTTGCTGAACGTCAAACTGGATGATAAACTTTTTAATTACAAACTCTGGATGGGAACTGCACAACTAGTTCAACACATCCAAGGGAGTTTGAGCTTGTTTCTTAAATGGCAGCCTCCCTCATTCCACAGAGCAGATGAATTTTAATATTTTGGAGATGATTGAAAGCTGCTTGTGATATGATATGGAGGTCACCCATTAGATCCAAAAGGAAAAAAATAATTACTCTGGTCTCTTTTTTGGGAGGAAGTTTTTTGGGGAGGAAGACTAAGTAAGACTTGCGGAACAGCCCCACTTCAACATGTTTACAGGGTTCTTGATTTCCCAATAAATGAATAATTTTATTTTTCACCTTTTTTCATTTTGTCAGCTGCTCAGGGCCCAGGGACCAAACTTGGCCCTCAGGTTCTCTCTATCTGGCCTCAGAACTCTCTCTCTAGGCCACACAAACCCTGTTTCACATCCCAAATACTTTTGCCCAACTGGCCTGTGTCCTTGAACATTAATAACGCCTCTTGCGTGTTTCGATGTAGCCAAGAAAGTGGTTTGTGAGTGTGTGTAGAAACTAGCTTACTGTAGAATGGTACAAATTTACATTTATTGCTGTAGCCCTGACTTCTGGCCCTCAGAAAGTTGCCCAGAAGGGAATGTGGCACTTGGGCTGAGAAGGTCTCTCCATCCCTGGTCTGTGAAGTGGTGCTATTTATAACAAAGTGACCAAGCCTCACTTGCCTTCAAAACTTGCAGGTGAAAGCACAAACCTCACTATTTCTATATGTATGTATGTTTTTTTCTTCCTGTCATGGCTTTTTAGAGGTGTCAGGTTCCATATGCAAGTCTTTTGCTATAGAGTTCAGGTAAACAAGATGCTGATTGCTGTCCTGTTCTTTCTGACCCACAGATGCTTGAGAAATTTGTTGCTGCTTTGGCCCCAGTTCCATCAGCTGCCTCCTTGCGGAGACACGTGCTCATTGTTTCATCAGACCAGCACAACTGCATTTTGCACTGAGAGTTCCTTCTTCTCCACATGGCCTTTCTACTGGTGTCAGCATACCTTCTGCTGACTCATGCCCATGGCGCTCCAGTTGAGAACGGGGCTCTCATGGAGACGCTGAAGTCCCAAGTGATGCTGTTCAGCAATAAGAGTGAACACTATTCAGCACAAGTGAGACCTCCCGGAACGAGCAGACGAATACCTCACACAATCATCATCGGAGTTCGCAAAGGAGGGACCAGGGCCTTGCTTGAAATGTTGGATGTTCACCCAAACATTGTGGTAGCGGCTACTGAAGTTCACTTCTTCGACTGGGATGAGAATTACGTGAAAGGAATTGACTGGTACAGGGGCCTGATGCCATTTTCATATGAAAATCAAATAACTATTGAGAAAACACCAGGCTATTTTACCTCGCCGCAGGCTCCCGAAAGGATTCACGATATGAATAGTTCCATTAAACTGCTGCTTATTCTAAGAGACCCCACAGAGAGAGTTATCTCTGATTATACCCAAGTCTATTACAACAGGCTGGAAAGCCACAAGCCTGTTCAGCTCTTTGAAGACATTGTTATTAAAAATGGAGCACTTAATACCAAATACAAGGCTATCCAGAGAAGTCTGTATGACATCCACATGGAGAGGTGGCTTAAACATTTCCATTTGAATCAGATTCACATAGTAGATGGGAATACCTTGATCAAGGACCCTCTTCCTGAATTACAAAAAGTGGAAAGATTTCTGAACCTGCCATCCAGAATTATGTCTTCAAATTTTTATTTTAACCAGACCAAGGGGTTCTATTGCATTAGGAGTGATGGAAGAGAGAGATGTTTACATGAATCAAAAGGACGGCCACATCCTGTTGTCAACAGTACTGTTTTAGAGCAACTTTACTCCTACTTCAGAGAGCACAATGCAAATTTTTACAGAATGATTAATCATTCCTTTGACTGGCATTAGTAACTTGCGGGGGAGGCAGTTTGTTTGTTTTCTAATGTCCTGCAGTAATTTATTTTCGAGCACTTCTCATAAACTCTGAGTTGTATCCAACTTGATATGAAGACCAGAGTTTTCTTCCCTGGGGTTTAACACTAGAAGTCCATTGCATTAATGGTGGACACTCTTTAGTGTACTTGGGGGCAATAAGCTTAGTGTTGGCTTTTAACTACAATAATGAACTTGATTGCACCAGTCCAAGTCCACTGACTTCAATGGAGTTATTTCAGATTTACACTTGTATAGCCGAGATGACTCATTTGTTTCTCTTTATTCAAAGTTATAAGCAAATGGAGTTTCACAGAAAACCATTCCTTAACCGATGTATAACAAAAAAAAAAAAAAAAAGGGTTGTGTAACTGAAATGGTATTATTCTAACCTTCAGGTTTTGTTGACTGCTTTTATTTTTCTATCTAGCTCCATGACAGTGGGATTGATTTCTATAACTTTTCATACAGTGAAATAATTATATATTAGAAGAAAAGATGACTTGAAGTGGTCCCATTATATAATTTAAAATCTTTTTTGTGAAATAATGATTGTAAAAAGTATATCTCACTTAAATGAGCCTCAAGGCTGCTCCCTGTTATGGCTCCCTCTATGTAGGGTCTTTATATTAAGTAAGACATTCATCATGTGCATGGGTATAAAGCCGTTTAACCTGTTCATACAAGTGTTAAGCGTTTCATATCTCCAATGCAAACAAATGAGGGCTCTAAAATAATCCCATTTTACACAGTAGACATCAAAAAGTACACAAGTGTCTATTTAATCACAAAACCATGAGCCACTTACTTTTTTATTAAAAAAAATACCCTTCATCAATACACAATTATTGGTCTTGTTTGTATTTTGTAACCATTTGTTCCAATAGTTTATATAACTAATTTGGCACAAAGTTTATTGCAAAAAAAAAAAGTTTAATTGCCTGCTCTCCAAAGTGTGGAGTAACTTTTGTAATATCTATTTGCAAATCATAAGATGTACTCAGAGTGCAAAGTAACTTCATGTGGTATTGTATACTATACACACAATATTCAAAATATCAAGTATGGGTTTCTGGTTTATCTATAAAACTATACATCTACATGAATGCATTAGAATTTGTTTGTTTATAATATATTTTTACTTGATAAAGTAATGGTTGTCTCTTTTTAAATACGCTACTTTTCACACCCATCCATCCACCAAAATGAAGATTATTATGCTCTGGACTTTATATTTATAGAACTGCAAGGATGGCTCCTTATTAGGGCTGCCATATGTCCAGATTTTCCTGGACATTACCAGGACATTACCAGGATTTCAAAAGCAGAATTGATGTTGGGGGTAATTGCTGTTCTTTTGGTGTCCTGGTTTTTACTATTTGAAAATAGTAAATAGTTTTACTATTTGAAAATAGTAAAAACCTGCTTGGCAGGGGGTTGGACTCGATGGCCCTTGTGGTCTCTTCCAACTCTATGATTCTATGAAAAATGGCAACCCTACTCCAGATGGAGCAGACTAATGTAAATAACAACTTACATGCTCACTTGCTTGGTCTCCCACCACAGGGCACAAGCAAGACAACCTTACAAAAGTTGGTTCTCTTTAAATGGCTGACACAAACAGGTGTAAAGGAAGCTGGCTAGTAAAATTTAGTTGGTTACTTCAGTGGATTTGATAGGTGCATATAAATGCCACTTGTTGCAAGAGAATTGGTGATAGCTTCAACTAAGACACATTCATTGTTATGCCATCCAAATATGTATGTGGTTGACTAGCTTCTGGGCAGAGCATCAGACAGAAATCTTAAGATATGTTTTAGTAAAAAAAGAAATGTTTGAAGTATGATTGTTACCACCAGTGGTGAAAGAGTTTTTTAATAACTTGTCGAAATATGTCAAAACTATGAACATGAATAAGATCGCTAAGAATGGGTAATGCAAGGTGCCAAAGGAAAGATGAGAAAGAGAAAGAGAGAAGTCCGGACAAAGACATGGAAAGGAGGCTCCATACTGCAGACTCACTACATCAGCTATACCAAGATGGAATCTACACACAATTAAAAAAACGCTGTGAAAATGCTTTTTTTAAACGTTTTGAAAAATACATTGAATTTTGCATAGCCCACTGTCACCATCTGGTGTCACATTTGTATATTGCACTTTACAACACTTAAAACGTTCTATTTGCAGCTGTGTAGACGAGTCCAAACATAATGTATACATAATGTCAATTGATCCTGTGCACTGCCAGCAGCTAGGCAAACCAGTCAAACAATACCAGTGGAAACAAGTGATAATGCAGCAACATTGGCAGGTATGCATGAAAGGAACCAATCAATGAATGAATGCATGGTGACAGAAGAACAAACTCAGGCCATCACCCTACACACCACATATCAAAACAGAATGCAACTGTTAAAAGACACCATAATACTCCTTAGGATAGACCTCCGTGGTATAGCAAACAGGAGCAACTAACAGACTTTGGGGCTATGTGCATACAGGGGTTCAAATCACCAGGCTGCAAAAACACAGTCAGAAAATAGCCATCGTTCCCCCAGGCAAACAAGTGGCTTTTTCCAATCTCCTTCCACACACATGCTCCAGATTTGTATTTTTTATTTTTTGGACTCCACATTATTTGTGATCATTGCCCTGATGGCTGGAGCTGATGAGGGTGGTACTCTAAGATCTCTGGGGTGCTTCAGATTGAGGAAGGCTGATATTGAAAAACTTGCATGCCTTTGCTCTGTCAGGAAGAAGCATGATTGTAAACCCCCTTGGTGCTGCAGAGAATGGCTGGAGTCCTGTTGTAGAAGTGAGGCTGTCATGGAAACACTTCAAACAATAGCATTGCACTGGGGAGCAAGCTTCTGCCAGATGACAATAGCAAAGCTAAGCAGGGTTTGGTATGGTTTCAAATTGGATGTGGGGCTATGTGTTGAGATTCCTGCATTGTGGGGGTTGGGGGGACTAGATGAAACTCAAATTCCCTTCCAACTCTACAATTCTATGATTCTGTGATGTACTAGGAAGAGCAGAACTATGCTAAAAAGCTGTGGGACATACCTGCCATGGGAAAACATTGAACTGACCACCTTTTGGCTGCCTAGCAATAACAACCCACAGTGCTACTGGATACAAAAAAATAATGAAGGTTGGAGGCAAAGGCTAATGCCTATACAGTATAGTGAAACCTTGGTTTTGGAACGTAATCCATTCGACTTCCGAAACGTTTGAAAACCAAGGATCAAAGGGAGGCCGGCAAATCTAATTTTTTAAAAATGAGAAATGCACCTCACGTTCAAAAACGGAAGCAGTCACTTCCAGGTTGTCGGCGTTCAGCTGCCGAGACGTTCAACACCTGAGGTTTGAGTGTACTTGATTCACTACACATCAATGGCCTGCTACAGGAACAAGCAAGTAAAAGACATATGTACGGACTTTATAATCCCCCAAATCACAATTTAGCTGCATAGACCAGGACTCAATGGGCTTTGTATGGAGCAGTAGCCAGCAGTGTTGTGATAAACCAACTTGTCCTGGTTGTCCTCACTCTTGCTTTAAATAAAAAGAAGCAGCTGGGAATTGTACTTCCTCCTTCCTGTTCCACAGCACCAACTTGTGTCCTGAGTGTCTGGGAACTTTTAACTGTTCCCTGAAGGGAGTTCTGATGGGTACCATATATCCTAATGACTGAACTACAGCATCAGCTATGCACTGGACTCTTCCTGGCAGCAAGTAGAAGGGGCATAGAATGGCTCAAGGGGCATCATCATGGCATTGCTGCATATTGCTGCATATTGATTAGTGGCTTCTGTGCATCAGGAGCAACATCATGGCATGTGGGTGGTGGCAGAATTGATAGAAAGGCTCTCAAGTCTATCATGGGCTGCTCTGTTAGCTCTGTTTTCTACTTCTATTATCATGCTTTTGACAAGGGATGGGTTCTCTGAATGTTGTTGGACTCATCAGCCCCAGCCAGCATAGCCAGTGGTCAGGGATGATGGGAGTTGTAGTTCAGCACAACATCTGGAGGAACCCAGGTTCCCCATCCATGCTTTTGACAGTGCCACTAGGAACACATAGGATCCGAGCCAGATATTTAAGCTGCAAAGAAAGCAACAGCCATATTAGCTGAACCCTAGATTTGCACTGCCTGATGCAGCAACACCAGTTGCCAAAAAAACCTTGTGTGCAACTGTGAATATGTTAAGTGTCTGATTTTTCTTTTTAAAAAACCCATTTCAAGGAATGCTGATCTGGATGGTTTACTAATACATAAATCTACCAGACTTGTCAGCCGAGCCTTCATCCATTATTTGCTCAGCAGTTCTGGGGAAACTGCTGAGAGAATGAACTCAATTAAATAACAGACTAATACTGGAGACTGCTCTATTGGGCTTAGTATAACTGCACCAGCCACCTTTTAAAAACAACAACCTGTTCCTTGGGCTGCATTTCTGAATCCAATTCCACAGCAGCATAAGAACATTAGAAGATGGCTGCTAGATTAAGGGCAAAGGCCCTTCAAGCCCAGCAGCCCTATTCCTACAGTGGCCAACCAAGCTCTAAATTGGGAAAGTTACACTGGGTTAGGTGTATTGGGAAAGTTAGGTGTATTGGGAAAGTTACACTGGGTTAGGGTATTGTTGTAGGAATGAGAATCAGTTTCTACATGTAAATGTTATCCTCATTTCCCCTGGATTTTTGTCCCGGATGTGTGTCCATTAGGGATGTCAGAGAATTCTGATGGAAACGGGAGTGGAAAATCCAGGTGCTTGCTTATTCGTTTCATGTACAGAACAGAAACCGATCCAGAAAATATGCAAACAATGCGTAATTTACTACATTTGCTTTGTGTTTCCTTTGCAATGAAGTGGGAGAATTTGAAGTTTTCTATGGCTGAGACAATTTTAATCATTTCTGAATTGGAACTTTTCAGCCATTTCCCTGTAATTCATTTCACAATAAAGACATCCGAGCAGCAAAATGGAGAGCTGACGTTTTTGCTAACACTACAAGCCTATATAATCCCTCCGGTATTGTGGTATGTCCCCCCACCCCACCCCGCCAAGCAGGACTAGAATTCGCCTCCCTTCTCTTTTGGATTGTTGACAAGATTGTTTTCCCTTTGATCTGATCTGATTTTATTCATTATTATTGACAGCGACATACACACTTTTGGGCATGAGGCCCAAGCTACACCCAAACAATCTTCACAAATGATGCTCTGAAATATCTGAAACAGGATGCCAGTGGAAGAGGAACCACTGCATGCCACATGCAGCCAGCCAGCAGTAGCAAAATTAATTTTGAAACTGTACCAGAGATGCCAACTGCATGGGAGTCAAAAGCATGGAGCTACTGCAGAGGGAAAGTGAACCTGTAGCCTTCCACATGTTACTAGTTACTGAAGGTTCACCATCTCTGCTCTAGCACAACAAGACAATTCAATTTGGGTTTTATGAACTGAAGTCTACTGAAAACTTTTATCAAAGAATGTTTTAGATAGGGGAGAATTACTACACACACACACACACACACACACACAAAAGAAAACACAGTTTTGAATTAGTGTACAGTTCTAAAAGAGTGTTTGACCATAAGACATTGCTGGACATATAGACTGGCCCTAAGAATCAGGTATGTAAAGTGAGGATATGCTCTTGAGATCAGAGAGAGGGGAATGGTTCACCATACTGTATTCATTCTTAGGACACAAAGGAGTAGTTTAAAATAGAAGGTGGCAAAATGAGGTTAAGTATCGTAGACAAGCTTCCCTCCTGCAAGAATAAATCAGCACCATAATTACCTGCCCGTGGGAAGCATGTGCAGAACCACCTTCCTTGGAGGGGGATAAAGAAAAGCTGGTAGAAGGCACCTGTCCAGGAATGATGCAGGTGTAGATTTTTTTCTGATCAGGAGAGAAGTTCTCACCTAATCACCCTTGGGCTCCCTTTCAGCTTAAGCTTCCACAAAGAAGAAATGTATTTCTAAGCTTCTGCCTTCAAGAAGTCTCTGGCACACTGAAAATTTAAGCTGTTGCTTATTAAAAATTAATTTGATCCCCTTTCTCGTTGCTAAGATACAGCCATCAAGATGCTGCTTGCCTTTTTCACTCAGTTTGCAGAAAACTGGCCGTGGCGA